CAATACAAGCTTGGATTTCAACTTCATGACGAAGGATATTCAAGTCAAGGCTCAACTTCACAACGAAGGGGTCATCCACGATTTCAACTTCACGACGAAGGATATCGTGATAACTCTAGATTGGATTTCAACTTCACGACGAAGGATATCCAATTCAAAGCTCAACTTCACGGCGAAGGGGCTTCCCAGTTTCATTCAGAGCCAATTTCAACTTCACGACAAAGGATATTAGACTCGAAACAATACAAGCTTGGATTTCAACTTCACGACAAATGATATTCAAGTAAAATCTCAATTTCACAACGAATGAGCCATCCACGATTTCAACTTCATGAAGAAGGATATTGTGCCCAATGAAGTGATTTAGCGTCACAACAAACATGTCATCCACATATTTGACTTCCTTAAGTCAACGATTAGAGCTTCTGAAATGATTTATTTAACATGCAGGAACATGCAGATTATCGATCACCTTTGAGATTGTTTCTTCGGAAATAAGGGGTCGTCTCGCTTGAGACTAATTTACTCAAAACTAAGTTGTCTCTCTTGAGACAGTTTCTCTTGAAACAAATTTTGTCTCTCTTGAGACAGTTTCCCTTGAAACAAATTTTGATAGTTTCCCTTGAAACAAAATCTTTGAATATGTTTTACATTAAACAAATTTCGTCTCCTTTGAGACAGTTTCTTTTCGAACTAAGTTTTGTCTCTCTTGAGACAGTTTCTCTTGAAACATATTTTGTCTTTGTCTCTCTTGAGACAGTTTCTCTTGAAAAAAAATTTGTCTCTCTTGAGACAGTTTCCCTTGAAACAAAATCTTTGAATATGTTTTCCTTGAAACAAATTTCGTCTCCCTTGAGATAGTTTCTTTTGGAACTACGTTTTGTCTCTCTTGAGACAGTTTCTCTTGAAACAAATTTTATCTCTCTTGAGACAGTTTCCCTTGAAACAAATTGAGACAGTTTCCCTTGAAACAAAATCTTTGAATATGTTTTCATTGAAACAAATTTTGTCTCTCTTGAGATAGTTTTCCTTGAAAAAAAGTTTTTTCTCTCTTGAGATAGTTTCTCTTGAAACACAAAAAAATCTTCAAAATCATTTCTCTTGAAACACAAAAAAAACCTTTGAAATCGTTTCTCTTGAAACACAAAAAAAAAACCTTTAAAAATGTTTCTTTTGAAACACACAGACCCTCGAGTTCGATTCCATTCAACTTAAGGCACATCATTCACAGCATAGCTCAAGGTAAGAAGGGTTATATGTCAATAAAATTGTCGAGTTCGATTCCATTCAGCTCAATGACACCTTAATCACACTAATGTCCGGTTATAATCGAGGTTTTTAAGTCGAGAAGAGGACATGGGTTAACTGTGCCTTAGTGACAAAAAATCGTTTTCCGACAGTATAGCTTAAGTCGAGAAAAGCCATCTGTCGACGAGGACTTTTCGAGTTTGATTTCATTCAGCTCGAAGGTCTATCAACCACATGGTGGAGTCAAAGAATTATGTTCCAGTCGAATTTTCAAACTAATGTCTTTAAACCGAGAAGAAGACCGATGTTGACCATAATTTGGCAACGAGAAGTCGCATCCCAATTTCAAATTTCGAACAACGGTTTCAATTCCATATCATTTCAAGATGGACTCGACTTCGCGACGGAGGAGCTATCTGTAACCCAATTCGTCAGGGAGTTATTCTTCAACTCCACCAAACGAAAATTTTTATCTTTTTATCTTTGCCCTATTTTTCGTTCCACGAAAAAAGAAAAAGAGGGGCAACTTTAGACACTAATTTTTGGCATCCCGGTCAAAGCCCCATTTTTTCCGACGTTCAACAAACAACATCAACCAACCCCTGATTTCCCTGGCAATAAGATTTCACGAACACCAAGTTAAATAACATATCAGTGTCGTGGGACTCTCAACAACCGAAAAACAAGCATTTGATTCATAGTAAGAGTCCAAAATCGGATTTTTAAACACTATAAATACATCGACGATTTACACACGAAAGAGGGAGAAGTGATACGAGTCAGTCCGTCGATTGAGGACTTCTTCGATTGTACCGGATCTAGAACGAAGTAAGTAATTCCTCGGCAGCAAACTTACTCGATATTAAGGATGATGTTGGGGTTATATGGATATGGTTATGAACAAAATTTGAATAAGGAATGATAATTGATAGATGAGGTAATGGAATTTGTGATGGTAGAAATTTGGATATAACAAGGAACAAGGAAGAAATTATACTAAAAGAGTATAAACCCAAACCTTATACGTTCAATGTTTAAGGACTTGGACCCGTTAGATAGTAATCTAAGAACCCGAAGTATCACAAACTTAACACAACAAGAACAGTCTTGAAATGTCAAGAAAATAGTTCTAAGAAGAACCAATTTTGAGAGAATAACTCACAAAGTTTTAATTTATAAAATTCTGATTACAAATGAAATAACAAAGCTTATTTAAAGGTTTGAAAGTGTTTTGGCTGATTGATAACAGCTTGTAATGTGCCAGCCTTGCTCCTTCCTAAAGACATGATTTAACACATAATTAATATGAAATAATAGGTACTTTTTCGGTGGAAATGTAGGAGGCATGTATCATGGCCGAAATGCACTTGTTCTTCTTCAAGTTGATGCTTAAGTGGAACCACACAAGTTGCACATGGTGTGCTGGCACGCACATGGGTGTTGTTTTGTTCCAAATCATGCACATGGGTGTTGTTTTGTTCCAAATGGTGAGTTACACTCCTTCACGTGATTTGCTGGCCATGTGGATTCACATGGGTGTTCTTAGAAAAATCTGGTAGTGATTTCTTGTGTGTGCTGGCCATGTGCATTATTAGGAGACAAGATTGAATCAATGCACATGGGTTGTTTTTGTGCCTTTGTTCTTTATTGCACATGGGTTGTCTTTGTGCAATCTATATGAATGATCTTCAAAACAGCAAATACACGTGGGTTTCCTTAGTGTTAGTTAAATGTGTGAATTGTTTATAATGCTATTTTCTCCATTCATCTTTGTTTGTCGTGTAAAGGGGCTGGAATTATGTTGAAAACTTCATTAAAAACCGTTCATCATGGACAGATCACTTGTGTTCCTACATGATAAAATAACATTGTTAATTTAATAGATAGTGGTCTATTGTAGACGCACACTTGCTGTCCTTGTGCCTTTGTTCCATGAAAAACACGTGATAACCTAGATGAAAGATGAAAAAATGCTAGATGAAAGTAAACATGAATAACACGTGAATTGCTATATGAAAAGATGAATGTAAACACTATATGCAAATATGAACTACACATGATATGTATGCAATGCAAATATAACTATATGCATGAAATGCTCATACTAAGTTATTAACTGTCGATACATTATATAACTTAACGTCGGAGGGTGTCAAGTTATCAAATGAATCAAAAGTCTCAAGACACTTAGTTAGGAGTACTTCCCTGAATTGTTTGGCCTTCTATCTGGTAATGGGACCTTGAGGCATGACTTCGAGATCTGATGTGGGCGTGATCACATCATCCCCCCCTTCTTTAAAGTGATTTGTCCCCAAATCGTCTTCATCTTCAAAGGGTGTCAAGTCTGCAATGTTGAATGAAGCACTAACGCCACCAAACTCACCGGGCAACTCTAGCTTATATGCATTGTCATTAATCTTTTCCACAATCTGGAATGGGCCATCTCCTCGAGGTAATGATTTGGATCTTCTTTGATTTGGAAACCTCTCCTTTCTAAAGTGTACCCAAACCCAATCTCCTACTTCAAACGTTACCTTTTTCCTTCCTTTGTTTGCTTGCTGCTCATATTGTCTAGTTCTTCTTTCAATATTGTCCTTGACTTGTTGATGGAGTTTCTTAACAAATTCTGCCTTGTCCTTTCCATCTTTGTTCACTATTTGATCACAAGGTAAAGGAAGTAAGTCCAAAGGAGTTAAGGGATTGAAACCATACACTACCTCAAATGGAGAAAATTTTTGCGCCCAATGTTTGGTTCGATTATATGCAAACTCCACGTGTGGTAGACATTCCTCCCAAGTCTTGATGTTCTTCTTGATTATCGATCTGAGTAATGTTGACAAGACTCTATTGACGACTTCTGTTTGCCCATCCGTTTGAGGATGACAAGTAGTAGAAAAGAGTAGCTTTGTGCCAATCTTACCCCACAAAGTCCTCCAAAAGTGGCTCAAAAATTTGACATCTCTATCCGATACAATGGTTCGAGGAAGTCCATGTAACCTTACCACTTCTTTGAAGAATAAGTTTGCAACGTGAATAGCATCATCAGTTTTGTTACAGGGTATAAAATGAGCCATTTTAGAAAATCGATCAACCACCACATATATCGCATCCTTCCTATTTTTGGTTCGAGGTAAACCTAAAACAAAATCCATAGAGACATCTACCCATGGTGTGGTTGGTATTGGCAATGGTTGGTATAGCCCATGAGGCTTGACCTTTGATTTTGCCCTTTTACAAACTAGACACCTTTCACATACCTTTTCAACATACCTCTTCATCTTTGGCCAAAAGAGGTGTTCTTTCAAGATGTTAAGTGTCTTTTCAACGCCAAAGTGTCCCATAAGTCCCCCTTCATGTGCTTCTTTGGTTAACACTTCTCGCATGGATCCTTGTGGAATACAAAGTCTACCTTCCTTGAAAAGATACCCTTCATGTTGATAATATTTTTCGTGAGCACCTGTTTCACTTAACTTATATATCTCTCCAAATTCCAAGTCAGTAGCATAATGTTCTTTAATAAATGAAAAACCAAGGAGTTTGGAATCCAAAGTATTAAGTAGCACATACCTGCGCGAAAGAGCATCTGCCACAATATTATCCTTTCCTCTCTTATAGCGGATGACATAGGGGAATGATTCAAGGAATTCAACCCATTTGGCATGTCTCTTGTTGAGCTTGTGTTGTCCCTTGATGTGTTTTAACGCTTCATGGTCAGTGTGTATCACGAATTCCCTTGGCAATAAGTAGTGCTGTCAAGTCTTTAATGTTCGAATGAGTGCATACATCTCCTTGTCATAGACGGGATAATTCAAAGTTGCATCATTTAGCTTTTCTCTAAAGTAAGCGATTGGTTTTCCTTCTTGACTCAAAACAGCACCAATCCCAATTCCGGAGGCGTCACATTCAACTTCAAATGTCTTCTCAAAGTTTGGCAAGGCTAATAAGGGAGCCTTTGTCAAATAATCCTTGAGTTCCTTAAATGCTTCATCTTGTTCTTTGCCCCAACAGAAGTTTGAATTCTTCTTAATAATCACGGTTAAGGGGGCGGCGATTGAACTGAAGTTCGGTACAAACCTTCTATAAAAACTGGCTAATCCATGAAAGCTTCGAACTTGACTTACGTTGACTGGTTCTAGCCATTCTTGAATTGCCTTAATCTTTTCCGGATCAACTGCTAGTCCCTGTGAACTAACAATGAAACCTAGGAAGGTAACTTGGTCAGTACAAAAAGCACACTTCTTGATATTAGCATATAAATGCTCTCCTCTTAAGGTGCTTAGAATAATCCTTAAATGTTCAACATGTTCGCTCAAGGATTTACTGTAAATTAGGATATCATCAAAGTAAACAACACAAAACTTACCGATGTAAGGCCGAAGGACATGATTCAATAGACGCATAAAGGTACTGGGAGCATTAATTAAGCCAAAAGGCATGACTAACCATTCATACAAACCTTGTTTTGTCTTAAATGCGGTTTTCCACTCATCTCCTTCCTTCATCCTAATCTGATGGTAGCCGCTTTTCAAATCAATTTTGGAGAATATGTTGGCTCCATTAAGTTCATCAAGCATATCATCCAATCGAGGTATAGGATGCTTATATTTGATAGTGATCTGGTTTACAGCTCTACAATCCACACACATTCTCCAAGTTCCATCTTTTTTTGGTACCAACAAAACTGGTACAGCACAAGGACTTAAACTTTCTTGAATGTATCCTTTGTGCAACAACACTTTGACTTGTTTCTGTAACTCCTTTGTTTTATCGGGATTACTCCGATAGGCTGGTCTATTTGGAATGGTAGCTCCAAGAATGAAATCAATTTGATGTTCAATTCCTCTAATTGGTGGTAATCCATCTGGGATTTCTTCAGGAAACACATCTTCAAAATCTTGCAAAAGAGATGCAATAGATATAGGTAAATCAGGGGGAATTTCAGCCAACAAACAATGCTCTTTATACATTAAAATGAGTAAAGATTGTTGAGAGGAAAGACATTTCCTGATTTCTTTTCTGCTCGCATAAACGTTTATCTTTTTCTTCCCCTTTGCTTCTTCGTTGTTCTTCTTCAGATGAACTTGATCTTCTTGTACTTGACTTGGTGTCAAAGGGGCTAAGGTAATTTGTTTTCCTGCATTCACAAACGAATATCTATTTGTGAAACCATCATGCATTACCTTCTTGTCAAACTGCCATGGACGTCCCAATAATAAATGAGTGGCATCCATCGACACAACGTCACACATTACTTCATCCTTGTATTTTCCAATGGAAAATGGTACAAGAACTTGTCTGGTGACCCTTAATTCTCCAGCATCATTTAACCATTGTAGTTTGTATGGATTGGGATGCTTTGTCGTCTTCAGACCTAGTTTGTCAACCATAACAGTACTTGCAACGTTAGTACAACTACCGCTATCAATAATCACAACACATACCTTGTCATTCACAAGACATCTTGTGTGAAAGATGTTCTCACGCTGTTGCTCATCTCGGATTGGTTGTGCATTCAAGCTTCTTTTAACCACAAGTGCTTCTCCAGTTGCATAAGTCTGTACTTGGTCGTCATCTTCATCATCGTCCACCAAGGGGGTGTCTTGCTCATCATTGTCAGATTCGGACTCTATTTCCCCATTCACTCGTGTCATCATTGTCCTTCGGTTAGGACACTGACTTACAACATGCCCTCTACCAAGGCATTTGAAACATTGGATGTCTCTTGTGCGTTCTGTTTGTATCTGTTGCTTTCCACGTCTATTTTCAACAATGGGAGGTTTTGGACTACTCGTTTCTGCTCTTTCCTTAATCTTAAATGGTGCTTGCTTCCTAACATTATTAGGAGTAACAGATGGATTAAAGGAAACTTTAGAAGGAGTATTACCTCGGTAAGAAGACTTTCTACGCTGTTGTCTTTCAATTTTGATGGACATATGCACCATGTCATCCAACTCGACATAATACTGTAACTCAACAACGTTAGCAATTTCAAAATTTAACCCTGCAAGAAAACGTGTCATAGTTGCTTCTTTATCTTCCTCCATGTTTGCACGCATCATGGCCATTTCCATTTCCTTGAAATAATCTTCAACACTTTGATTACCCTGTTTCAAGTTTTGTAACTTCTGAAATAAATCACGTTGATAATGAAATGGAACAAACCATTTCCTCATGATTCGCTTCATTTCTGTCCATTTGTTTATTGGACCCTCACCGGTTCTTCGTCTACTGATCAGCAATTGATCCCACCAAATGAGAGCGTAATCAACAAACTCCATTGCTGCCAAACGAACCTTCTTTTGTTCCGAGTAATTATAACACTCAAAAACATGCTCAACTTTACTCTCCCATGCCAAATATGCATCGGGATCTGTTCGTCCCTGAAAAGATGGAATCGCAACTTTTATATTAGCCAAATTATCATCAAGTGTACGTCCATGTCTCTGATTTGGTCTTAGAGGTTGGTCAATTTCGTTTTCATCATTAATCTCTTCATTATGATGCATTTGGGATTCTCCTTCAATCTTATCCATTCTAGAATGTAGAGTCTCAAGTTCAGCCCTTATCATCCTTTGTATCTCACGTGTAATGGCTTGCATTTGCAAATTTGGTGGTTGGTCACCCGGATGGTTATCACTAGAGCCTGCCATATTAATCAAATAAAACAAAACAACACACAAAGAAGATAATTAATGTATATAGGTCCTTACAATATACACACAAAGATTCTCACAATTTCGCTCCAAAGAAATCAGAATTGACACTTAATCACTCAACACTCGTGTTTCACTCGGGAGAAACTTTTAATGGCTCTTTTCTATCTCCCCTTCTGATCTCACACACTCAATGTGCCTTTTCCACTCGTTCCCTCGTACTCAGTTCTTTTACGAACTAAATTCGATCTTTCAAAAATCTGTCAAGTGTGTCAGCTATAGGAAACAATAAAGATTAAAAGAAACTGGAAAATAATGAAAGGAATGCTAAAAATTCAAAGGAAAATAAAGAAAGGAATATGAAAATAATTAGTAAACTTACTACAAAGAAATGCTTACAACGAGACTGTCCCCAATACAATCAAAGTTATTGCATTTTGGATTGAATCAAAGCTCAAAGCATTTCAATATTGAAGAACACAACATTATAGCATTTCTCTTCATCTCAAGACCAGAACTTTTCTTTTTTCTTTTTTCTTTTTTTAATTTTCAGAATTTGTTTTTTTTTTAATTTTCGGAATTCTCTTTTTTTTTTCAAGATGAATTTCTTACTTGGTTCACCTTTGCTCTGATTACCATATGATACGAGTCAGTCCGTCGATTGAGGACTTCTTCGATTGTACCGGATCTAGAACGAAGTAAGAAATTCCTCGGCAGCAAACTTACTCGATATTAAGGATGATGTTGGGGTTATATGGATATGGTTATGAAAGAAATTTGAATAAGGAATGATAATTGATAGATGAGGTAATGGAATTTGTGATGGTAAAAATTTGGATATAACAAGGAACAAGGAAGAACTTATACTAAAAGAGTATAAACCCAAACCTTATACGTTCAATGTTTAAGGACTTGGACCCGTTAGATAGTAATCTATGAACCCGAAGTATCACAAACTTAACACAACAAGAACAGTCTTGAAATGTCAAGAAAATAGTTCTAAGAAGAACCAATTTTGAGAGAATAACTCACAAAGTTTTAATTTATAAAATTCTGATTACAAATGAAATAACAAAGCTTATTTAAAGGTTTGAAAGTGTTTTGGCTGATTGATAACAGCTTGTAATGTGCCAGCCTTGCTCCTTCCTAAAGACATGATTTAACACATAATTAATATGAAATAATAGGTACTTTTTCGGTGGAAATGTAGGAGGCATGTATCATGGCCGAAATGCACTTGTTCTTCTTCAAGTTGATGCTTAAGTGGAACCACACAAGTTGCACATGGTGTGCTGGCACGTACATGGGTGCTGTTTTGTTCCAAATCATGCACATGGGTGTTGTTTTGTTCCAAATGGTGAGTTACACTCCTTCACGTGATTGCTGGCCATGTGGATTCACATGGGTGTTCTTAGAAAAATCTAGTAGTGATTGCTTGTGTGTGCTGGCCATGTGCATTATTAGGAGACAAGATTGAATCAATGCACATGGGTTGTCTTTGTGCAATCTATATGAATGATCTTCAAAACAGCAAATACACGTGGGTTTCCTTAGTGTTAGTTGAATATGTGAATTGTTTATAATGCTATTTTCTCCATTCATCCTTGTTTGCCGTGTAAAGGGGTTGGAATTATGTTGAAAACTTCATTAAAAACCGTTCATCATGGACAGATCACTTGTGTTCCTACATGATAAAATAACATTGTTAATTTAATAGATAGTGGTCTATTGTAGACGCACACTTGTTGTCCTTGTGCCTTTGTTCCATGAAAAACACGTGATAACCTAGATGAAAGATGAAAAAATGCTAGATGAAAGTAAACATGAATAACACGTGAATTGCTATATGAAAAGATGAATGTAAACACTATATGCAAATATGAACTACACGTGATATGTATGCAATGCAAATATAACTATATGCATGAAATGCTCATACTAAGTTATTAACTGTCGATACATTATATAACTTAACGTCGGAGGGTGTCAAGTTATCAAATGAATCAAAAGTCTCAAGACACTTAGTTAGGAGTACTTCCCTGAATTGTTTGGCCTTCGATCTGGTAATGGGACCTTGAGGCATGACTTCGGGATCTGATGTGGGCGTGATCACATCAAGAAGAAGCAAAGCAAAAAATACAATTAGAAAAACAACAAAAAACCAAAAAGATGAGAAGAGTAAAAGATAATATCGAAGTCTTTCCTTGTCTGGAGAGAGCACCGCGCTTCTTTCATCGGAAGAAGAAGGATTTTCGAGCCTTTGAAGATTGCCAAGGTGAGCAGTGGCCGATCTCACTCTCCCTTTAACCCTTGCACGAGCATACTCTTTTTTTAGAGATGAAATCTCTATGTTTTGTTGAAAAGAAAGAACTAAGCTTGGGTTTCTTAATACCCAAACGTGGAAACAGTAAATATTAAAGGGAAGGGACCCACATGTCTTCATTAGGGGTTATTCGTATGCTAAAGGCTTTACCTTTTATAATCTTTACGATTTGGTTACTAAATTTTATTCTTATGTATGGTTATTTGGATTTCCAATTTTATTATGATTATGTTTTAGTCACTATTTGGTATTTGGAATTAATTGTTGTCTAGTCCTCCTAATCTTTTATTCTTTGTTTTAGCAGCTCATTTTTTAATTCCAATTTGATCCATTCATTTCAATTTGTTTCAATTTGATCCTCTAAGTTTTTATTTTATTTTATTGTTTTTACTTCGTATTGCTACTTTTAAAATTTAGCACTTTTTTCTTTAATTTCTTTGACATTTTTTAATTCGTTTTATTTATTATGTTTTTATTTATTTTTATTTATTTATTTTTTCTTGAATTATTATTCTATTTTTTTTTAAATATTTTCTTATTTGATTTATTTAATATTCACATATTATTATTATTATTCTCTAACAGTTTTTATTCTTTTTTTAGAAAAATTTCAACATATCAAAGATAAACAATTCGAATCGAGTTTTTTAATTTAAATTTAAATTTTTAATTTTCGCAAATAAAGACAACTGACAAATTAATTGATACTGAAAGGGCGGTTCAATGGTGCTAATCCTTCATTGACCGTAACTGACTCTCGAACCCAACACGTTTTTGGTACAACGCAGATTAGGTAAGATTGTGTCCGATCTACCTAATATCGCTTTAAAATGATCGGTGTCGACTCCAAATCATTTTTCTTAAGTCGAAACCCAATTCTGGACCCAACAGAAAGACGGCCACGACAAGAATGAAAGGATAATAGAGTTCACAAGCATTTCTACACCCCGATCGGATCGATGTGCAGATCCAGATGTCCTAGATAACTCCATTTGGGTTCAGAACGTTGGCTCCCAATTACCTCGGGATAACAGAGCAGCCACGGTTCACGGAGATCGAGGAATTGCTGAAGACAACGAAGGTGACCCCTACAGAAGTGGATGAGTTGTTGATTGAAGACGGGATTGAGGCGGCGTTACAGGGTTCCAATTCAGTTGCTTGAAACCAAGCTAAACGACAGTCGAGAAGATGCAGCTGTCGCACTGCATCCAGAACAAGTCCAAGCAGTAGAAGATGAAGAGCTAAGAACGGAAACGAAGGATCTACCAACATTGATCATTTTAATTGTTGGAACACTGAATAGGCTTTATTTTAAAATCAACAGTTCATTGAATGAAAATTCATGCACATAATACATTCTAATCCAATTTCAAGCCTCAAACAAGCATATCTATTCTTTGATCAAACTAAAGACCTTCAAAAAACCTCATGTGATCTTCAAATGTTTCCCCGTGCCGTATCTTGGTCACTGATCCATCTTCTTCAACCTAAAACCATTAGTTTGAAACCCTAATTTATCTTCTTCTCCTTTTCTTTTTTTCAGGAAATCATCATTCAACAACTATATGCAGAAACTTTCGTTTAACAATCAAATTTAACACGAACCAGCGCTAAGAAATGATCATGCTGATGAGGATAATTGCTGATTTGAAAATGAACTTGCCATAAATAGAAACAAGGTTAAATTGTGTTACCCAGTACTCAGGTGGGCGCATCTTGAGATTTTAAGTTGATGCCATGCTCATGCAGTAAGCACCTGCAACGTGCACGACCAGGCCAGTCCCCTGCGAAAATAGAATATCGATTAATCCAGATAATTGATACTCCAATCAGTCCATTATATGGATAAAACTAGATACCCTATCTGGGGTGGGGAGTTCTCTCTTCTTTCCCAAGAAATCTGCAGATTCACAAACAGGGCCAACAATATCGAAGGTAGAAACCTCTGCATCGGGAGGAGCAGGAGAAACCAACTCTATATGCTGCAATCATATATGAATGGGTTTATTGAAACAGTACGGGTATAAATTTATGATTTAGAAGAACACAACAAAACTCGACTAGGGTTATAATTCATATCTTGAAAAGTTCAACTATTTGGTCCTGAGTTCAATGGACTGCACCTAGGACAGAGGCATCGTTAAAATCAACTGCTAGGTAATTTTGACTGTATTTGCATGTTCATCAGAGCTCAAACTTGATGGTTGAAGATTGGAACCGATGATACTTGGTAAGCATCATAAAGACTAGGACGGATAAGTTCAGCCATACTGCCATCAATCACAATGAAATTTTTTGTTCCATTAGTTTTGACTCCGGTGACACGATTGACTAAGCAGCAAGTATTTGCAATGAGTGATCTCCCTGGTTCAATGATGAGATTAAGATTTCTTGAAATTACCAATTCTCTGACCTACAACAACCAGCGAATAAAGAAAAAGAAATAATATTAGCCAAAATGAACACTCCTAGCATATCAATATCGGTGCTTCATATATGATAGAAAAAGGATAATGGCCATGGTAAGTACCATAGCATTTTATATATTGAACTGTAACTCAAGATGCGCAGGTCAGTTTATTTTAAAAAGTAACTTTATATGACGGAAGTATTAAAAAACCATTAAGTGGCTGCTACGGAACTCCTATTTCTTCCACCAGCTAGACAAAAAAAATCATGCATGAATAAGCAAGCCATAGATGTTATGACAACAATTTGCAAGGTTTAGAGGTCTGAGCCTTACAGTGTCAATGAGATCTCTAGGTGTGGGAAGGACGGCACCACTATGGTAGTAATCTTATCCCCAAACCACCTCCAATGTTCAAATAATCAACTTCAAACCCTTGAGCACGAATTTCATCAATGTAATTGACCATAAGAACAGCAGCATCCCTGAATATGTCCACCTGAACAAGAATACATGAGAGTTTCATTAGAACTTGATGAGTAATTCGCGAAATAGATTCAGACAAACAACAATGTAACACACAAAATAAACGATGTTGACAAACTCGTCGGTATTGATACTGATTGAATTAGTATCGATACTACTCAGCTAATTCATCCCATTTAGCCTATAGTATCAGTACTATTCTATCCGTACCAATACTCTTGTCCAGATTTTTCAGTTTTTAGCTCGAATATCACCCAAATGAGGTTAAATTTCGTTATAAATACACCATACAATGCCATTAAACTCTTCGTTAACTATCCTTACTAACATTCCTTCATTTATCCTCTTAAAACATCTAAAATCTTTTAAGAACATTCAATTCTAAGAATCACACAACTCTTCCTAATATGTTCTTCATACTATCCAATCCTTCTAATCTCTTAATTACCTCTTTAACAAGTCAAATCTACCAATAAACATCAACAAACACTCATATATTAACATATCACTTCAAAACCCATTTTCTAAAATTTCTCATATTTCCTTCATTTCATAGTTTTAACCTTCTTTAATCTTTCATTAAGCTTACCTATCACTTGATGTTACCAAAACAACCAATAATTTAAAGAAAGAACTAGATAATGGAAGTTTACCTTAGCACTACTCACGTGAAGAAGAAGAAGAGAAATGCTCTATTTTCCTCTTTTTCCCTTATTTAAATTTATTAATCTTTTTAAAAGACTAAAGTGTCCTCTTACTTTATCAATTGATACACTTTAGTCTAAACACTATTCTAAATTATTCTCATCTTTTATCATTATTCCAAATAAATCCTTATATTTTTAAATCTTTTCAATAAAATCCTTAGTTCAATATTTGGGGTATTACAGGCTCTTTCTCATTGAGGTAAAGAAGTTTTTTAAAGTCTGTCTTGCAAGCATTACATGTTTATATGATGAGCTGCTTCTTGTTACCTAAGGGATTATGCACGGAATTGAATGGTCTAATGGCCTGATTTTGGTGGCAAAAGTATAAAGTTAAAAGAGGCGTACATTGGTGTTCTTGGGAGAATATGTGTGTAAACTCCATTTTTTGTCCGAATTTAAAAAATATTATTATTATTATTATTATTATTATTATTAATAATTAATTAATTATTACCTACCCTACCCACTATCCACCACTACCCACTATCATACCTAAACCAACCCACTGAATTATCCACTACTAATCACAAAAAAATAAAACCCACATTCAACCATAAATGAGGGAGACACTCGGTGAACCTGGGGGAAAACGGATGAAAAAACAAAGTGGTGGAGGCAGTGCAGGAAGCTCATAAACTCGATGTTAACGTCTTGCTTCGCTATGCCCAAACTCATGTTCCTAGATTTCCACTCTCCCCTTCAAAATTCAATCTCTTTCAGTTCAGACATGGACAATCGAATCCCACATATTTGATGGAAGTTGAAAATGGAAGTGGAACTGTTAAACGCTACGTTTTGAGAAAGAAACCTTCCGGGAAACTGCTTCAATATGCTCATGCCGTTGAGCGAGAATTTTAGTTCTTGGAAGGTCGGATATTTGTAGACCCAAGTCTACCGGATGTACCCACATGCAATCAGCGAACCAAACCTAAAAGAAACAAAGAGTGTGGTTAAAGAACCCAAAGAGCGATCGATAAAAGCAAAAATGGGAACTATGGATTTTACCTTTCAACGACGGTTTGGTAGCCGAAAGCTCGGTTCATCGATCCCAATGGTCATACAGCAAGATACAATGCGAGGATCGACATACTCCGACTAAAGCTTGATCCAACAGTTCAATCTCACGTAATCGAAGGTAAAAGGGAGAAGATTTTCATTGTTTCCCCTCGTGTTTGAAGTTTGGAAGGTACACGGTTGCTGTGCAAATATTGGGCTTAAAACCCCTTTAAATATATTATAAATGGGACCCATGAACTAATAACTCATCTGTTTATGTGTAAATTGACGTGTTTTGGATTTTTTAAGGGTTAATCCATGCTTTAGTTATGCCATCTTTCAACATCATTCATTTTGGTCCTTTTTATTTATTTGTTTTTTTATCGTTTGTTGCGTTTAATTTTTATTTTAATCATTTCTACATTTTATTTTCCTTTCATGTTTATTTTATTTTTTAATTGATTTTTATTTCACTATTTATTTAAATATTTAATTTATGCTAATATTTTCTATTTTTCAAGTTCTCTGCCACAGTAATTTTGTTTATTTTATTTTTTTTATTCCATCTATTTTTTTCATTTATTCCAATCATTTTATTTTATTGTTTAGATTTTAGTCTATTTAATATTTTAATATAATTATTTTATTTATTCCAGGTTCCCTGTAATCAAGACTACACTGTTAATTTCTAATTTTGTATATTTTTATTTATTTATATTTTTTATTTTTCTTTCTTAACTCTAATTTTATTTTTTTAAGGAACCCAATTAAATTTCAAACGATTATCAAAGGTAGATAATTCATATCGTATTTAAATTATTATTTAAACTTCTACTTTTCAATATTAAGACAACCGAGAAATTAAAATGGTATTGAAAAGGTAGTTCAAAGTGATAATCCTTCTTTTACTGTAATCGACTCCCGAGCCCGACATATTTCTGGTAAAACGCAGATCTTGTAAGATGGTATCCGATCAGCCTAAATATTTTTTAAATGATCGGTGACGACTCTAACGACTTATTTAAATCGAAGCCCAATTCCCAGCTCACTCGAAAGACGGCTGCGATACTGTGTAAACTCAAGAAAGAAAGGGGAATGAGATTTTGGGATTTCAATAAATTTAATATAGCCCTTTTGGCAAAGCAAGGGTGGTGTTTGTTAAATAATCCTTCATCCCTTGTTAGTCGAATTTTGCGAGCCAAGTATTACGTTACTGGAGAATTTATGAGTTCTCGGTTGGGATCCACAGGTTCGTATACTTGGAGGAGCATTTGGAGTGCAAAGGGACTTCTTCACATGGGCATCCACTGGAAGGTGAGCGATGGGCATTCCATATCTGTGTGGAATGACTTATGGCTACTGTTAAATATTCCAAGGTGGGTGGAGACTTCAAAAATAGGAGAGATAGAGTGGGTTTCAGATCTAATTGATTCAGACACGTTCTTGGAAAATGAATTTAATTGCAGAAGTTTTTGATGTCGTGGATTATGATATGATTGTGGGTATTCCTATTTCACCTTTCGAGCAGATGAACTGCTGGGTCTGGAGTGGAGAAAAGACAGGTGAGTATTAGAGGTGTAAAAATAGACTGAAATCGACTCAAGTTAAAATTATTTTTAATATGTGCTGTGATGATTTAAAATCGATTCGAGTCAGAACTGATGTTGACCTGAATCCGAGTTGAATTTGTAATTTGTGGATATGAACCCGCACTCGACTTGAAAACGACCTCAACCCGAATTGAACCGAAAATATGATACCTTAACCCGACCTGCATCCTATTGATATGAATCCGAACCCGACATTGACCTGATAAATAATTAGTATTATCCGACCTGTTTTCAACCTGACTTGTTATGAACTTAACCTGTTTTCAACATGACCTATAAATAATCAGACTTGTTATTGATCTGATCTGATATTTACCTTACTTATATATTACCATTGATGAAATATAAAATTTTAATAAGATTATGAGATTTTGAATTTATAATAAATCATACTAATTAATATGATTAATTTTTAAATTTTATAATAAAACATTAATTATGATAATTAAATTAATAAATACACTTGATATATTAATTAAGATTATTAATATACGAATACTTATATTTATATACTTTAATACCTTGTATTAAATCAAGGACGGGGAACAATCAGGCTATTCTTCTCATTCTCAGTCGAACACTTTTAGAGATGATTGTGATGGTGCTTCTAATTTAAATTGGCAGAAGTCTGTAAATGATAAGAGAAACTGAGATGAAAGGACACATTTTGTGAATGAATTACATGATATAAAGACTTCTGATTTTGCTGATTATCAGGAAGGAAGGACTGGGAAGCAATCAAGCTCTTCATCTTCTAGTTCAGGTACTTTTGCTGCTGATCTTTATGGTGTATCAAATTTAAATCGTCGGAAGTCGGAAAACTTTTCTGTTGAGAATTTTTCTCTTTTCTCTTGAGATTTAAATTGGCATATTTTCTCAGAGAAGCGATCTACTTCTATCTTCTTTGAAAGTTCAACAAGCTCAGCAGCAAGCCCTTCACATGTACATGAGTTGCCTCCCACTTTCGATAATTACTGCCATAGTTCAGAAAGTGAAGAGGAGGTAGACAAGTTCGGTAGGAACAACAATTATACTATTGGTAGTCATAAAAAGAATTTGGATTCGCACCAAGCTGAAAACAGTATTTTCAATCAACCGTTGTCTGGGGACATGGAAAGTAGGGAATTGAACTTAGGGAATTTGACATGGCATCCGAAATAAGGGCTATAGGCATCCACCATATGCTTTATCCTCTTCGGAGGCAGAGAATGATACATCCGCTGGATTTAAGCCATCATCCCCTTCCCTAGTGGAGGATTCAACTAGTTCTGGATCTTAGAATCGAGAACCGAAAGGAAGTGATGAAGTGAGTAGAAAACTCAGCAAGAGAGCACCAGTCACTCGTGCTGATTCTAGTGACGATGACTTTGAGGAGGAAAGACCAAAACTTATTTTTAGTAGCACTCGAGACCAATACAACAGAATGCCAAGCTCTGAAAAAAGATAGAAGATCAACCTCAACTGTCCCCTCAGCTTTTTACAGTCGGTTTCAGATCCCATTATATTCTCCATGAAGGTCAGAGGCCTTATATCTACAACCAGCATAGTCTTTTTCAGCTATAAAAAGAAACAATTTTCAAATAGTCATGGAAAAGTAGAGAGTTATTGATCCTAACACTACCAATAAAATTACATTAATTTGGTTTTAAAATTAATACATTAAATGATAAATTCAAAATTAAAAAATTAAAAATAATCTAAACGAGAATCTCCAAATACATGCAACCAAAATTAACACAAAATTTTATGCCATGAATTGACTCAAACTGAACTCACAAAAATAATAGGGTTTAGACATAAGATAACCCGAATATCAATTTTATTTAGCTCACGATAACTTTTTAGGAAAAAAATCAAAGAGCAGTAGTAAAATGAAATGCACCTCGATCTGCACATAGGACTTTGCAAATAGGGCACTCTGATCCAAACTCATTTCGGGCTATGCATGAACTGCAACAGTACCATAAAAAACATGAAAACTAAGCAATGAAAATCATAAATTTCAGAAATGAAGATAAAGATGGGGAGAGAGATGGCACTAACTCGCAAAATAGATGGTCGCACGGCATCAACAATGGTCGTTTAAACAAATCCAAACTGCAAAAGATAACACTTCAAATAATAATAAATTTGAAAAACACAAACCAAAAACCAAAACAAAAAAAATGACTGAATATGAGAAAACAAACCAGTGAGGACATCTAAGCTCCAGACCCATTTTGTGAAGATGAAGAACCCAAGGATTTATAGCTCTATTAACACTCTGCTTAGTCGAAAGACTCATTATTTGCTCAAAAGCAATAAAAACAAGAAATTGGAAGGGGAAAAAAGGCTCGATATTAAGAGATCTTCGCCAAGAAGTGGGGCTGGTTCGAGGTTTATAGGGAGATCTCTAAAAGACAGGGAAATCTTCGTAATGAGTCTACGTGTGTAGGTAATAGAAACAAGTGGACGGCTGTGATTTGTTAGATTATAATAGGCGGCCATTTAGATTTCTAATTGGCGGAACTTGGTGGATTTTTGTTTTTGAAGTTTGCCCGCGTGTTGGTTAGATAGGAATGTATTAATAAAGGCGGACTAATATACTGTTAATATACGATCTTACTAGATATATTAAAAGATATTTAATAAATTTGGTTTAATGCTATCAGAAATATTGAGTAATAATAATGTAGTAGGTCTAAATCATGAAGAAATATTAAAAAATTTGATAACCGACAAACTTAGTTTGTCGGTTTATGTCGATACTTTATAAAAATGTATTTATCCACATCAATATAACAGGAAAAAATATGACAAAACCGGTCACGAAAAGATAAAACCGGTAAAGCGCTACCGGATATATTGCAAGTGTCGCTACTTTAATATAAGTATCGACACATAGTGAATTTAAAGGAGAACAGTTTTAGCACCTATAAAGTGTCGATTCTTTATAAATATGTATCGATCCACAATGATATAATAGGTAAAAATATGATAAAATCGGTCAGGAAAAGACAAAACCGGTAAAGAGATACTGAATATATTGAAATTGTCGATACTTTAATATAAGTATCAACACATTGTGAATTTACAGGAGAAGCAGTTTTAGCGCTTATAAAGTGTCGATTCTTTATAAAAATGTATCGATCCATAACGATATAACAGGTAAAAATATGAAAAAACTGGTCGGGAAAAGACAAAACCGGTAAAGCGCTACCAGATATATTAAAAGTGTCGATACTTTAATATAAGTATCGACACATTGTGAATTTAAAGGAGAAGCAGTTTTAGCGCCTATAAAAATATCGATTCTTTATAAAGATGTATCGATCCATAACGATATAAAAGGTAAAAATATGATAAAACCGATCTCTAACTGACAAAACCGGTAAAGCACTACCGGATATATTGAAAGTGTCGATACTTTAATAAGTACGCGTAATAAAGTATCAATATTTTCAAAGAAATAGGTAATTATACTATCGAAAGTATCGACACATGAAATAAAAGTATCGACACTTTTGTAGTTGTATCGATTAAATAGAAATTACATATCCGGTGAAAATATAAAGGGCATAGTTAAATATTCTTTGAAAAATAGATAGAACGGACGAGTTTTTGAAATCGAAGCGTAATTGTTGCTGCATTTCAGAATGCATTTCTAAAGTGAAGTTTGTTTGTTTGTTGCTGCAGTCGAATCGAAAAGTACGTTGTCGAAACCCTAATTTTTTTTATTATTACAGTAATCGGAAATAAGGTTTTTATGTGTTGTTTGGGGTTTTCTAAGTAAAGAAGTATTTGGGACCGATTACAGGTAGAAAGTGATATTCTAGGTAAAATATAAATATTGATACTTTTATTAAATATTATAGGTAGAAAATGATATTATAGATTGTATAAATGTGTCGATACTTGGAGTATTGAGTGTTCCCATTCGTTTGAAGGAAATAGGGATTAGGGTTTTTGGGTTTGGTTTGGGGATTTCGAATTGCAACCGAGAAGGATTTGGGATCGATTATATAATATTATAGGTAGAAAATAAATATGGATACCTATATATAATATTATAGGTAGAAAATGATATTTTATGTTGTATAAATGTGCCGACACATTTTGTAGTGGCCATTCAAATTCTTTTGAAGAAAACCGTTTTACCACAAGAGTAGTTATATATGTTTGTATATTGAATAAAGTGTATGTAACAAGTATTTGATTTGATTTTCGTAAACTGATATATGAAGGAAAAATGGAGTCAATGGGTGGAAATATTGTTGGTGACGCAGATGACTTTGAAATTGAGGCCGAGACTCGAAAGCAACCAAATGGTGGTGGATATATGTATTTCTAGTAAGTATCAATGTCTTTTTGTTATTATTGTTGAAATGGTAATTGGATTAAAGTATTTGAGAACTTTAAATTGATGACAAATTTTAAATGTTGACAGTATGACCGAATGCAAAAAGATGAAGGAAGGTGGCGAACACATCGGTTCGGTATGTAAATTGAAATTGACATTGAGTATTATTTAGCGTTAATGTATTGATTAAAAACGTTTATGCTTAATATTAGGCGAGAAATGATGTGTTGGAGAAATGAAATTCGATGAGTGATCCTGAGAAGGAACCTTACATCGCACACTCAAAGATGAATAGTGAATAATACAAAGAATGGAAGAAAACACATGAAAAGAAGGTATTCATTAAACTTGTAAATACGTTGATACAAAATATATAAGAACTATAACATTATATATTATTAAAAAATGTAGGAAGTGTCGACAAGGTGCAACACTAAAAGGGTGAATTCATTAATTATACACCTTAAGGAGAAGGGTCAATTGAATGTGCTGGGAAAAATGGGGTTTGGATCGTTGGTAGGAGTAAGGGATCGACCTATTCGGAGGGAATTGTGTCGATCCTTGATGGCGCAATTTGATGTAAAACAATGTATTGCTAAATATGGTGATTTTTCATTTCCTCTCGGGATCCCACGTGCTGCAGCCGTCTTGGAGGTAGGAAATGAAGGAAAAAGTGTTGTAGAAGTCTCTAAGAGTAAGGACTGGAAAGCACTTGCCTCCAAATATGGTTTGAATCAGAAGGTGACATATGTTGAACTTGAAGAGGAAATCAAAAGTGGATCTTATGGGGGGATGAGTTGAAGGCCCGAGTTCTATTGTACCTTGTCGGGATCTTTCTTTGTCCAACGAGTGATACGTTAACAAACAAGGACTATATGAAGCTCATTTACGATGAAGTCTTGAAGGGTAAATTAAGTTGGGCTGAATATGTCCATTTGAGATTTATTGAATCAATAATCACCTTTAAAAAGGGCAGCCAGAGATACCTCAAAGGGTGTATAGTAATCTTATAGGTAAATGAGTTGAAGAACGTTTTTTTTATATAAAATGATAATATAGTTATTATATAAAATTATAAATTTGATTATAGATGCATGTTGCACTGTTCGATTTTTGGTCGGGCTGCGAGGTAGTGCCGGCTTATGAAAGAACCGGAGTGGCACACATCCGTGCATGGGGGAAGGAAGAGGTAGTTAGAGTGATGGCGAAGTTGAAGTTGGATAGACCAAGGAAGCAAGAAAGGGTAATAAATGTAATTAAATAATATTAAGAATATAATCAATGTCTTAATATTGTAATTTAATTTTGAACGTTATTGGCAAGGATGTAGTGGAGGCAGAGGAGAAGGAAGAAGAGATGGTTGTATTGGGGGATGACGGTGAGGGGGATGATGGTGAGGGAAAACAGAGTAAATTCGACATTTTGATGTCTGAATTGGCTGATATCAAAAACATCCAATTTGATATCATGCAAAGACAATCAAGAGTCAATAAGAAACTTGAGAGAGTCGAAGAGACACTTGAGAGGCATAAGGGGAAGTGGAAGGAAAAATAGATGGAGTGGTGAAAGAAGTTGAGGTGTTGAGGGGTGAAGTGGTGAAAGAAGTTGAGGTGTTGAGGGGTGAAGTGGTGAAAGAAGTTAAGGTGTTGAGGGGTGAAGTGGTGAAATAAGTTAAGGTGTTGAGGGGTGAACTTAAGATGGTGAGGGGTGAAAAAATTGATGGAGTGGTGAAGGATGTTGTGGAATTGAGGAGTGAACTTATGGGGGTGAAGGGGGTGGTTGATGAATACTTGGATGAAGGGGAAAAATTGAAGGGTGAAATAAAAGAGATGAAGAGCTATGTAGAGCAAAAATATGATGAACTGAAAAAATATGAAGAAAAAAAGAGGGAGGAAGAAGAAAAGAGGGAGGAAGAAGAAAAGATGGAGGAAATGAGGAGGAAGGATGTCGATGTGATCTATACACCAGAGAGTGTTATAGATGCAGATTTGTATTCGGAATGTCCTGCACCCCAGAAGAAGAAGCAGAAGGTAAGTTGAATAAAAGAAAACTTAATTTGATCTTTATCATGTTGTTGTGACAAAAAATTGTATGCAAAATTGTAGGTTGAAAAAACGGATATTCCAAGCGGAATTTATGACATCGAAGCTGCAATTTGTATTTATTTATGGAATAATGGGTTAGAATCGGGGTAAGTGAAATATATTTCTTTGTGAGTGATATTTAAATATTTCATGATAAGATATTAATCCTAATGATTCATACAAATATTCTGTAATCTCAATGGGAAATCAATTCGCTAATATATCCGACGTTGCAACGTTGAAGCCTACGGAATGGGTTGGTGGAGGATTGACTACTTTCCATACCACTTAGCGGTGAGTTAAATTAATAAATGTTGAAAAGTAGTGTTATAGACGGTAAATTAATAATGATTGTCGCGTAATTGCAGCAACAGGCGTTGGATGCCAATAGCAAAGTAAGTGTTGAGAGTATTGCTACCTTTTGGGGTCCCATATTGGGTAACTATGTGAAATTCACCGACTGTGAGAAGGTAAGACACCATACGAATTGCATATGATGTTTTCGGATATAAAATATTGAATTTTGTCAAATTGGGTGTGAAATTTGTTGCAGATCATGATCACAATAAACTACCATAATTCACATTGGTATATGTTGGTGTTGGATATGGTAGATCATGTTGCAACAATATATGATAGTCTGTTTACATCTGAAGCAGCTAAACAGAGAGTGAATGATGCTAAGAGATTGGTATGTATGAAAGGACATTATGTAAATTATAATGCATATTTTGTTTGGATCATAACTTCATATTTTTTAATGCAGATGAAAATATTAGATAGTTATAATAAGAAACGTAATTGGGGTAGAAGAATGTGGATCTATAGGAAAGTTCTCCTTGAAAAATTTCAAATTTGTGGAGCATAAGAAGAATGAGCAATTGAATGGGTATGA